CCCGGGCAGGGAGGAGGAGGAGGGAGAGGGGTCCGCGGTGCGTTTTTAGAGCGTGTTCGTGCTGCGGGTCAAACACCCGCCTGTGTGTCGCTTGGTGCTTCTCCCAGAACCGGGAGCTCCCCCCCGTGATTGCGTCCAGCGCTGATGCTCTGGCATCGCTCTTTGGGCAGAAATAGCCCGGGTGATGTTCGCGCTCCGGCCCATCGCTCGCTCCTTGCCAAGAACCTGCAGCACCAACAACGCCCGCCGTCTTCTCCGCTGCCGAAGGCACGAGGGTCTCAGGTGGGCTCAGCCCGGGGGTCTGAGCTCTCTCCCCGCCCTGCCCGCACGGCTGTGGGAGCTGAGGGGGGAGCTGCCGAGGTGGAGAGAGCTGGGGAGACGGTCGGTGCCTTCGGGGGCGCGGCTCAGAGCACCCACCGAGAGGTGGGAGAGCACCATCACCGCCCGGGGGGCTCTGCCTGGTGGGACGGGACACTCGGAGCAGCCGAAAATCACAGCGAAATGTGGATGGTTTTCTGTCTCTCTCGTCGCTGTAGCAAACTTGGTGTTGCACCAGACTGTGGAGCGCATCCACGTGGGCAAGAAGTATGGGGACATCCCTCGGGGCATCTTTGTCGTGAGGGGCGAGAACGTGGTTCTGCTGGGGGAAATTGTAAGTGAACAGCTCGTGCAGCAGCCTGAGACTGAGCTGGGGGCATTTGTGGTCTGTCTGTCTGCTGAGAAATACAGTCACTGTCCTACTGGGGGGCTGGAATTTAAGCCCCCTCCCAGGGCCAGTTCAGGCTGAACCACCACAGAAATGCTCCCAGGGTGCAGAGGGCAGAGGTGTCTCCTGTAGCTGAAGCCCATCAGGGATGGTGTGAAGGATGAAGAGCAATGTGGGGGAGCTGCAGGGAAGCTCCAGCTTCTGTGTGGCATTGCTGGAGGGTGTCATTAGTGGCTGCCTGTCACCTCCCTGCTGGCCCGGGGGTCCCTGCCCATGTTCCCACTCCTTGGGATGCCTCCAGCACCTCTGTTTGCCGTCACCTCCACCCTTTGATGGCACCTGTGGAAGGGGTTTGGGCACAGGTGTCCTGCGGTCCGGGGTGCTGCGCGGAGCTCAACAGGTCATTTCTCCCGCAGGACCTGGAGAAGGAGAGCGACACACCTCTGCAGCAGGTGTCCATTGAAGAGATCCTGGAGGAGCAGCGGGTGGAGCTGCAGGCCAAGCAGGAGTCGGAGAAGCTGAAGGTGCAGGCGCTGAAGGAGCGGGGCCTGTCGGTGCCGCGGGCGGACACGCTGGACGAGTACTAGAGCTGCTGCCCCTCTGGGGCTCCTGATCCGCCTGTGCAGGGACAGAGCTCCTGGGAAAGGCGGCCTTTATTTTCAGATTGTATTTTCTGTACACAAATCATGCCTTTAGTCTCCTTGCAGAGAAGGAGATGAGGTCTGGCACAACGGCTGGGAGCGAGCGTTTGTGTTTGGGAGGCAAATCGCTGCTCTTTGGGTTTGTTTGCTTTTTCTTCCTCATGTGACTCTGGGCGAGAGTTTTCCTTGAAGTGTAAATAAATCCTTGATCCTGGCATCACTGGTTTTCCAGTGCTCTGGTCCTGGTGTTCTGGTCCCCCCTCTCTCAAGACAAGCAACCCTTGTGCCAACTCGTGTCCCTGCCGGGTGCTGTGCAGGGGGAGCAGGCTTGCTCCAAGGAAAAGCAAGATCCTTCCCTCTGGGATGGGGAAAAGAACCTGGGCACCCCCTGTACCCCAACAAAGATTACCAGCACCCCCCAGCCAGACTGTGCTGCTCCCCTGCAGCTAAGCCCGCTAATTACCTGCTGATGAAGAGCTGCCACACCTGGGGCAGCACAGCCCCTCTGCCTCCAGCCCCTCTGCCTCCAGCCCCTCCTCACCTCAGTGCTCTGGTGGAGCCGGCGCAGCTGCCTCAGGTTGGAACGTCCTTTGCCCCGAGCGTGTCCCGGTGCTGCCAGAGGTAGGAGAGTCCTTGGCTGTGACGTTGGATTGGGGTTGGCTTTGGGCAGCTGCCAGGCTCCGGGAGCCTCCCGTGTGTGGGCAGGGAAGGGCAAACCTCGGCAGGGACAATCCCTGTGGAAGCTCAGACCATTTTCCTGGGTAGTGGGGAAGTTCTCTGGGGGGAAGAGTCTGTGCTGGGGGGACAGCAGGGGTTTTGTCTTCCGAAGTGGCTGGTTTCTGTGCAGGACAAGCCCACCTCCTCTTGCTGGGGCTGAGCAGAGCTGTCCTGGAGAGCCAACAGCCAACGTGGCCAGCACTGCTTCCCCCTCGCTGGCCCAGGGCCCACTTGCTTTGGGGGGAAACGCGTCCCCACCCGTTGGGTGGGCTCGAGTGGGTGTTGTGGGTTTGGGGGTGGCAAAGGTGTAAACAAGGAAATGCTGGAAAAAAAAAGCCTTTATTGAGCTAGAGGTGACTCCTGCGGCTGGAAAA